ATAATAATTAGCATGGTGTCACTCCGATTTGTCTCTGCTGTCACGGTGACATACACCGGCTCATTACTCTGGACTTGAGTAAGAGGGGTAATGGATTCTCTTATAGATTTGCTGCCCTTGGTTTTATTTTTGCTGAGCCCGATGCCAAACCTAAAGCTTCCAAAATTCTGTTCTGTAATAGAATCAGTCCACACAAAATGGGATTCCTCAGGATTTGGGCACAGTGGGTACACAACCAGTGCAATTGTTTGGTTACTGCAATCAATCAATGTGCTTTCTCTTGTGAGTGTCATGGAATCCTGTTTGGAAAAATGAAAGTAGATACATATATTAGCATGGCTTGACATCAGCCATATAGCATATCCTGTGTGCAGCATCTTAATCTATTATTTACCAATATAAAAATGGTGGAGCGTGCATGAAATAAATGACCTAAAATTGAATAGAACACTAGAAAAATAAGTTTCTCACGTGTAGGGCATAAAATAAAAAGAACAGAAAAGTGAACAGTAAAACTGTGTAAAAAAAATTAACAAAGGGCAACTCACATAGAATAGCCTAAAACACCTGGCTCTAAGTTGTGTGGCTGATGGTGTATTTAGGCGATGAAGAAACTTATTGAAAACTGCCAAAAGATCCCACTGTAGAAATCAATGTGAAGTTTTTATAATGATATAAAAAAAGGCAAAGAGATGAATACAATTATTTAAACAATTTATATCCCAGGATACCTGTTTTATACTGCTTGCAGAAATAACACAAATATGTTAACACTCATACAGGTAGACCCATTACATGTGGCATTAATTCATTTTCTGAAAACATAGTGCAAGAAATATAACACATTACTGGTTTTGTGGATATTGTATACAGGTTTTTAGTAATGTTTTTTTCTGTTGTTTACAATATATATCACTAGACATGTGCAATTCGTTTCGTTCCGAATGTAAATTCGGACGAATTTCGGGCAATTCGGACATTCGGCTACTTCCGAATGTCTAAATAGCTGAATTGACAATTTCCGAAGTTGCCGAAGTTCCGAAGCACAGAATTTCTGAAGTACTAATATGCCCAGTGGAAGAATGAAGAATGTTACACTGTATACCAGATTAAATAAAAAGTATACAAGCATTTGCAACACTTACAACTATCAAGTAACACGTTCATATAAAATGTAAGTTACTTAGCCAGTCAATGGATGGGAATGAGTAAGTAGATAATTCCCTAATTCCCAGGGTATAAGGAACCTATCTACCAAAAGGCTGAAAGATCTAAATTAAAGTAAAAATTACTTAGTATTAGTAAATTCTGCCCCTACTCGCTATACCGCGAGTAGGGGCATGTCTAGTAAACAGACAAACAAAAAAAAAAGGTCCCCCCTATATTAATATTTAAGGCCCCCAACCCACCACTCAGGGGTGGGGGCCGGGGAGGAGGACAATAGGTCACCCCCCCATATGGGTATTTAGGGCCCCCACCTGCCACTTAGGGGTGGGGGTCGGGGGGGGCTGTAGGTCCCCCCTTCAGTTTAATAGCCCCCACTCGCGCGGCATGGGTGGGGGCTTGGAAGGGGGGGCACACTTAGGTTTATTTTTTTTAACAGTGAGCAGCCATAGGCTTACTAGACATGCCCCTACTCGTGGTATAACAAGTAGGGGCAGAATTTTCTAATATTAAGTAATCTTTACTTAGTATTAGTAAATTTGACTGAAAGACCAATTTAGGTCTTTCCGCCTTTTAGTAGATATCTCCCTAATACCGTGGGAATTATGGAGTTATCTACTAAGCGGCTGCAAGAGAACATCCTGAATTTCAGAATGCCGAACAAATATTTTCCCCATGCACATCCCTATAGAACACTGAACTTTGTTGTTTTATATTAATCTATTAAACCACACTTCTTCTAATTTGTTTAATCAGATTTTCACCATCGGCAACAGCTAATTATGAAGCATTATTCCCTATCCATTGTGTTGGATTTGTTTATCTGTGACAGTAATACACATGATTTTCTAATCAACAGGGAGCTGCATACATCTCAGCATGAGAAGGTCCAAATGGGGGTCAGAAGCAGCGATACCAGCTGATGGGAGATGGGGATAATGCATAGCACTAATAATGCAAATGATAATGTCATAACACCAACCCTTTCAATCAAACAGGAGCTCAGTCCCCCAACGTGTGGACCAGACAAAGTTTCAACCCACAAATTAGGTCTTTTGTCAAGCCTAACAGAGACCCAAAAAGTTTGAGGTTGATTTAATAGTTGGTATTGTGATTGTCATCTGTGGTGGTTTCACTAAGGACCCAAGGGTCCAAGGTGACCATTTTAGGGCCCACGGTCCGGGTCAAAAGAGGGAAGGTGCACAGAGCGGGACACAGAGCTCCCTCCTCCCGTCGGTCATTCTGAGCCCACTGGGATAACAAAAATGTTCCTGCTATTGCTGTTACCTGGAAATGGCCAGCACTTGCTGTTGCCCCCCTCCCCCTCCTAATTACATATGCGACATCTCAGTAATTAGACTCGATCTAACAACATTTTTTTACCTGATCTAACAAAGATCTAACAAATGGAATAATCTTTTGTTAAATTCTCAATATGTGGAGGCTTACCCGGGGGTGGTGTGTGGTTTATATGATTCCTTCGGTTTCATAGGCAGGTGCACGGGGTGTGCCGGGTGTGCCTGGGCACACCCTAACCCCCGTGGCACGCCTATGGAGTGAGACCAGCAGGGGAGATCTCAGGATCCCCCCTGTCGGCTCATGCAGAGCCGGCGCTATCCGAGCGCTGTCTCTGCTCTCAGCCTCCCTCCCCATGACACACAGGCAGGGAGGGAGGCAGGAGAGGACCTGGGGAGCTCTGGCCAGCAGCTCCGCCGGGTTCCTCTCGCTAGATCTGAGCGTTGCCGCGGCAGCGCTCAGATCTCGCGAGTGTGAACTCTAGCCCCGCAGGCTAGAGTTCACTCACCACTGGACCACCAGGGAAGGCAGCAGTAAAGATCCCCCCTCCCTACATATGGTAACAAGGGAGGGGTGATAGTAACTGATCTGCCCCCACCTCCATTGGACCACTAGGGAAGGCAGCAAGGAACAAGAATCCCCCCTCCCTACATAAAGTAATGTAAGTAATGTACACCCACCTCCACCCCCCACAATCACCTACACACATACAGCACACACACACACACAGCACCTACATACATACAGCATCCACACACACAGCACCCACAGACATACACAGCACCAACACACATACAGCACTCACACACATACACAGCACCAACACACATACAGCACCCACAGTTATACACAGCACCCACACACATACAGCACCCATAGACATACACAGCACCCACAGACATACACAGCACCTACACACATACAGCACCCACACACATACAGCACCAACCCACATACAGCACCCACACACACATACAGCACCCACACACATAGCACCCTCACAAACACACACAGCACACTAACAGTACCCTCACAAACACAAACAGGACCTTAACAAACACACACACAGCACACTACCAGTACCCTCACACACAAACAGCACCCTCACACTAACACACATCACACTAACAGCACCCTCACACAGCAGTGTATGTGTGCGTGCATATATGTGTATATATATATATATATATATATATATATATATATATATACATACATACATATATATACGTGGCGTGTGCTTGTGCTTTAGGGTGCACACCCTAATGCAATAGGCTGCGCACGCCTATGTTCGGTTTTCTAACAGCACAGACGGCAAGCTAATATCTATCCAGGGCCGGACTGGGGGTTCCAAAGCAGCCCTGGAAAAAAAAAATCTATGCCAGTCCCATAAGTCATTGCGCCATATATTGTCGCATGTAATATGTAAGGCTATGTCTTGCCACCCTAGATGATTGATTGATATATATATATATATTGCTTTTTCCAATATAAACTATTGGTCCTTTCAGAGTAAAATTTTTAATTATACAGTAAGCATACTCACATGCAGACACAGACAATCTCACTGACACAAGCTGATTGATACACAGCCTCATAGACAAACAATCTCACTGATATACATAAGGTCATTGACATAAAAACACAAGCCCACTCACTAGCAGGCGCGCACACACACACACAGCTTAATGTAGTGGCTCTGGTGTCTATAGCCTGTCCCTGCAGGCTTTTCAATGTAAACACTGACTTTTTAGAAAAAAGGCAGTGTTTACATTGCTTCCTAGTGACAGACACTCAGACGGTCACTAGAGGTGCTTCCTGTGTCAGTGCGGATTGGCTGAGATCATCAAGCTTGATGATCTCAGCCGTAGAGGCAGGGCCAGTCGAGGGGAGACCAGCACGACATGGGGGGGGGGGAAAAGGTGAGTAAAAACATACATACACACACACACACACACCATGACACAGACAGACCGTGACACAGACAAACATACCGTGACACAGACAGAAACACACACACACCGTGACACAGACAGAAACACACACACACACAGAAACAGACACACCATGACACAGACAGACACACACACACCATGACAGACACACCTTAAAAAGACACACACACCTTGACACACACACACCATAACAAAGACAGACACAGACACACACCATGACACACAGACACACACACCATGACACAGAGAGACCGTGACACAGACACACATTACATGACACAGACAGACACACACACACCATGACACAGACAGACCGTGACACAGACACACATTACATGACACACACACACACCATGACACAGACAGACACACATTACATGACACACACACACCATGACACATACACACATTGCATGACACAGACGCACACCCCATGACACAGACAGACACACACAATGACACAGACACACACCATGACACAGACAGACACACACACACACACGCCATGACACAGACAGAGACACACACAGACACACACACACATACACTTACACTGACACACAATTTCTACCTGTGAGGAAGCTCCTTTGGCGGCCGCAGGGGGAGCTCTTTAGGCGGCCGCAGGGGGAGCTCTTTAGGCAACCGCAGGGGGGGGGCTGTCTGTTCTGGCGGCCGCAGGGGGAGCAGGCTGTTCTGTCTCTGCTCCACCTCCGCTACAAAGAGACCGGGGCCGGAATATGACGCGCGCTGGGGAGGGGGAGCAGAGACAGAACAGCCTGCTCCCCCTGCAGCCGTCTAAAGAGCTCCCTCTGCGGCCGCAGGTGAGCCAGCTGCCTGCCCGGCCCCAGGTCCCGACGGCCCACTGGGAAATTTCCCGGTATCCCCGTGGGCCAGTCCGGCCCTGTATCTATCCCCATGTTTCAAAAACATCCACAGGTCAATGAACCCTAGTCTCCTCCAACCTGCGTAAAACAGTAATGATGCTAACAGAGACCAGATCTAATGGATCTCACCTATACACAGAGAAACATTTGAACATTAGTCAATAGAAACTCAAAGCTTAAATAAGCTTCAAAAAATGTATATTTTCAAGGTCAATATATTACGTTTTTTTCATTAGACAAAGTAGAGAACTAACAAGGGAGTGCAGATTCTAGGCAAAAATATTAGAAAATGTTTTTGATTAGTGCTCGTGTAGTGTGGGTAGGGTATAATGTGGAGTGGATTGAGACTGAGACAAACATGTCCAAAATGCTGCCTGAGATAAGTGGGAGTTAAAATCACAGGTACTAGCTATTCCAGCTGCCATGATTAAAACACATACACACACACACAGCCAAAACAAACACACACCAACACACACACACACTACCCACACAACGAACTGGATAACACAAGAAAAAAAAAATATTCCATTACGTTATTTTGTTTCCACAATTAATGTTTGCTTCTCCAAACAATGTAAGAGCCTATATTTATCTAATAGGACATCTAGTCAGTTTGAAATAGGAACAGATCCACAAGATGCAATTTAAGTCTTAATTGGTAATATTATTTTACTCTTGTACTTTTTTTTAGCCTTGTCATCCATGAGCTGTTTGTTATGTATAATGGAAATGTATTTATATTTACTATAAATCAGATATCTAGTGTCAAAATAATTTTGGGAATGACTCAGACAATAGTTTATAATCAGTCACGTCTCTGAAAACGTCTGTAAAATGCAATATTAAAGGACCACTATAGTGCCAGGAAAACATACTCGTTTTCCTGGCACTATAGTGCCCTGAGGGTGCCCCCACCCTCAGGGTCCCACTCCCGCCCGGCTCTGGGGAGAGAAAAGGGTTAAAACTTACATTTTTTCCAGCGCCGGGCGGGCAGCTCTCCTCCTCCTCCTCTCCTCCCTTTCGGCTGAATGCGCACGCGCGGCAAGAGCTGCGCGCGCATTCAGCCGGTCTCATAGGAAAGCATTTACAATGCTTTCCTATGGACGCTTGCGTGTTCTCACTGTGATTTTCACAGTGAGAATAACGCAAGCGCCTCTAGTGGCTGTCAATGAGACAGCCACTAGAGGATTTGGAGGCTGGATTAACACTAATTTAAACATAGCAGTTTCTCTGAAACTGCTATGTTTATTAAAAAAAGGGTTAATCCTAGAGGGACCTGGCACCCAGACCACTTCATTAAGCTGAAGTGGTCTGGGTGCCTAGAGTGGTCCTTTAAAGACATTGGTGAAGGATCTAGTAGCTCCACTAATAGTGGGTAATAATAATAATTTACAAGTTTATGCTCACTGATAATCAAGATTGTATAAAGAGTTGAGCATCCAAAATATCTGAATATTCTGACAAAATGGCTGAACATGCTGGTTGAATGGCCTGGCCATTCTTGGTAAATCCACACACATGACATTGTAATCATTGTAGGACTAAGAAGACACCTCTGTCTTCCTGACAGCCACCAGAGGGTTCTTCTGCTGGGACAGTTATGTGATGTTCGATGTCCTCACTCATTGCTTGAGCACGTTGAACGTCCTCAATGGCCTATCATAAATTCAATGTTTCCCTGTGAGAAGCATTGGACTGGACAAGAGGTGGTTGCTGCTTGTGGCTTCTCATCCCAAATATTTCTCTATGAGAAGTATTAGATTAGACAAGAAAACGGAAGAAGTCAACATGCTTGCTGATGAAGGAGGGTGAGTAGGCGGCTGCAACAGTAATGTCTCGGCGGTGGGAACAGGCAGGGCTGAATTTCCCATTAGGCAAGGTAGGCACTTGTGCTGTAGGTGTACACCTATTATATGCCTTTTTTGCGTTTAGGTGGGTTGGTGAGGGGAGATATGTATCAGTGCTCCATATCTTGGTTAGTGTACTCTGTAGTCCAGTCAGCAGAGGGTGTAAAACTCAGGGCTGTCCCAGCTCCTCCAGTGTCTGTGTGTGAGGCTAGACAGGAAGTGCAAGGGGTCACTTCATATATGCCCACTAACAGCCTCTCACACAGGAAATGCCTTGCAGGAGGAGCAGAGACAGCACTGAGTGATGCACACTGTACAACAGTTCTACCAGGGTCGGCCTGTCCATAGACCGCTGTTGTGGAACCACGGCTCCAGGCGGCACACCAACAGGGGTGGCAGCACCGCACGGGTTGGGAACCTGTGGGAAGGTCCATCGGGTGGCTCATGTCCTTAGAGCCACCCAATGGACATATGCAATGAGGGGCCCGGTTGTGCGCTGCGGCTTTTCAGCCTCTCACGTCCTCCCAGCTCACACACGGACACCAAGCGGTGCAGGATGAGGGAGCTGCGAGGATGGGTCCGGACCAGGAGAGCAGGTCCCCAACTCCCACCAGAAACTGCTGGGTGGCTTAATTTTTTAATGTGTGTATCTGTGTGTTTGTATGTGTGTGTGTATTGTGTGTTTGCATGTGTGTTTCTGTGTGTTTGTATGTGTATAATGTGTGCATAGTGTGTGTATTTGTGTGTATCTTGTAGGTGTAGTGTGTGTATATATGTGTGTAGTGTGTGTATCTGTATGTGTGTAATGTGTAGTTTATATCTGTGTGTGTTTGTATGTGTGTGTGTGTGTATCTGCATGTGTGTAATGTGTGCATCTGTTTGTGTGTAGTGTGTGTATCTGTATGTGTCAGTGTGTGTATTCTATGTATTTTCACTTTTATGCACTTTATATATGTCCCTGTTTTAACTATATATGTTATTACATTTTTGACAAGTATCCCCACTTTTTCTTGGAATTATTTATATCTCCTGTATCCTGGCACAAGTGGAGAGATCTGGAGACGTGGTGGAGTCAAACATACCAGGGAATTTTAAAAGAGCGGCAATAGTCAGAGCCTACTATATGTGGCTCTGCAAAGTGTGAGTGAAAACCTACATTTATTTATTGAATGTTATTTGGTCAAACGGTATTATGCTATGTTTTGACTTTTTTTGTATATAGGTGACATTTAAAGGACAAACAAGTGTCTATAAGTATACTATATACATATTTGTACCTGCACTCCTATATCTGTATGTATGTCACACATACATACAGATGCACAGACACACTGATACACATGCAGATATACAGACACACAGATACAAACACTGCCACACATGCAGATACATAGACAAACAGATTCAATCACTGACACATCCAGATACAGACACAGATACAAACACTGACACACATGCATATACACAGACACAGTGTATAGGTAAGTGTATTGGCTGCAGTGCACACACAGACATATGCTACATCCCCAGCACACACACAGACACACGCTACATCACCAGAACACACACACACTACAGATATATATTACATATCTGTAGTATGTGCACATACAGATATATATTACATCCCCAGCACACACATAGACACACACTAAATCTCCAGCACTCATACAGACACACACTTCATCCCCAGTACACACACAGACACACACGTCGTCCACAGCAAACACACAGACACATATCATCCCCAGCACACAGTTAGACACACACTTCATTCCCAGTACGTGCACAGACACACGTTTTATCCTCAGTACACACACATAGAGACACTACCATTGCAAAACAAATGGGTTTTTTTTGGGGGGTGGGGGTGGGAAGGTTGGGGGGGCAGCATTTCATTCTTGGACCCAGGCAGCCCAATGTCTTAGGCTGGTGTTCTATCAAATTCCCCTACCTCGTGAAAATCCCCTACACTCGTCACTTCCGGTGAGGGGAATCAGCTGGATCCTGTGCTGCACATGCATGCTAGCACTCCTGCTACTCCTCCACAGCCAGGTCCTGGAAGGTAAGTTTTACATTTTCATTATAGTTAGTGCATTCACTAAGCTTAGGCACACAGGACATTTAAGGTTAAGTGAGGGTTCAAATTAGGGTTAGGTAAGCGATTTTAACCTCTCTCACACTATATTTTTACCCTAACCCTTGGCTTAAGGGTTAAAATAAAGTGTGAGAAATCACTATTTATAGATATTCCCCTAATGTGAAATATCTCTAAATATGAACAAGTCCCTAATCCTAACCCTAATTTGAACCCTAACATTAACCCTAAATGTCCCATGTCCTAAGCTTAGTGAATGCACTAACTATAATGAAAGTGTAAAACTAGTTTTACTTACCTTCCAGGACCTTGCTGTGGAGTAGTAGCAGGAGTGCTAGCATGCATGTGCAGCACAGGATCCAGCGGATTCCCCTAACCGGAAGTGACGAGGGTAGGGGATTTTCACGGGTAGGGAAATTTGATAGAACTCCGGCCCTGAGCTACTATCAATCATAAGAGGCTGAGCACCTTGTCAATAACTCTACATGCCTATACCCTAAACATCCCTTTTTCACTAAACCAAAAAAGGTAACTCTTCCTAAAACCCAACTCACCTTAAAAAGTAAACCTCAGTTACAAATTTAATTCAACTCCAACCCTAAACCCATTAGCTCTAAACACCCCTTATACGACAACTATAACATCTCTTGTGCTTTTAAATAGTTTAACATTAAACACTGTATGTAATTTAACTGACATTTACCCAATTTTTAAAGGGACAGTCACCAGAACAACTACAACTTATTGAATTTGTTCTGGTGAGTAGAATCATTCCCTTCAGGCTTTTTGCTGTAAACACTGTCTTTTCAGAGAAAATGCAGTGTTTACATTACAGCCTAGTGATAACTTCACTGGTCACTCCTCAGATGGCTGTTAGAGATCCTTCCTGTGCGATGGCTGCCTAAAATGCATCCGAACATTCAGTATCTCCTCCCTCTGCATGCAGAAACTGAACTTTCCTCATAGAGATTCATTGATTCAATTCATATCTATGA